CAATTCTCTCGACTGAAAGCACTGATAAACTGCCAAAGTACATCTCTTCCCATGAAGACATTTCAAGAAATGAACTATGTAACTGTGCTTTAAACTCCTCCAAAACCAATGGACAAAAGATTTCAACATACTGTTCAGGTGAATGGAACTGCACAGGAACCTCCTTTAATTTCGCAACTTTATGGTTATCATTTGCACTTCCAGATGAAACCCCCACTAGAGCAAAGTAATCTAACTCTAAGATAGGTCTATACCATTCATCAAGCCTTGGCGGCTTGAACCTTTTTCGAACTTCCATCCTCTGTAAATGACCAGGTCTGTTCTGAAAAGGTGATCTAAGCTGAATAAGTTGTCGCTTAGGACCAGGAATGCTTGTTTTTGTCAGAAGTGACTGCTGAGGTCTGACCGAATTGAGAGCAGACTCTAATGAATTGTCTTTGGCATCGCATACTATATGTTTCAACACAGTGTTGTCTTCTTTCAAGACCTCATTGTTGGAGGCTTGATTCAACTTTTTGGAACTGACAGCACCGTCAGATGAGTTATTCAAATTAATTTTATCCCGGAATTTTTCAGAATCAATTATACTGCATTCAGGGATTATTTCTTTCCTGCTATTATCTACATCTTTTGATTTGAGCAAAGAAACATGTGGCATTTTTCCTCTTGATCTATCAAAATCCTGTTTCTGATAAGCAAGGCCAGCACCCTCTGTAGCATCTCTTTTCTGGAAGGCCTTGAAAGAATCCTTGTAAGTGTCTGCACCAGAAATATTCTTCGCAGGTTCAGTATAAGAAGCGCTTTTATCAGCACTACAAGCAATTTTCTTGTCACCCACCATGCACGGACTCATCTTAGTATCAGACAAAATTACTTCACTGGGTGAAACTGCTTCAGTTTCATCATCAGAAAGGACAATCATACCATCCCTACACTTTCTGTTATCGACCAATGGTGACTGCAGGATTTGAACATCTGGTTCCTTGATTGGCAAGGGCTGCATAACTGGAGCTGAATACTTCTTCTCAAAAGATAACCCTTCAGGAAACAAAGCATTTGAACAGAGGTCGGTCTTTCCCACACTAGAAGAGGCTTCCTTGGATAAAGAAACTGAAAGGAGTGCCACTTGTTCCATCAATTGATCCATGGAAACGCAATCTAGATTTAGAAGGCACAACACATAAAAAACTGTTAGTTTCAATAGTGAAAAATGGTCACTGCTTCAACAGAAGAGAAGGGGGTGAGGTGCTCATTGCAAGATAGTAATGTTTTTTTTTGCATCAATGTATATCAACATAGAAAGCTCACCGGATGAAATTAGATTTTCAATGGTGCCGATTGTTGATGTGATAGAACTGTTGCAAAAGCCTTTTAGCAATTTCAGCAAGGAAGTGATTGTTCGTTGCCAGTATACGACCACAGTTTTAAGTGATGACTTTCCCCAATCCATAAAATCATGAAGCCATGAGAAGTCATGTGTATTTTCCTTTGTTCCAGAAAATCCAGACTGTTTATGACATAAACAGTATATATTTTCAAACACACAAGGGAGGATCTCAAGTATTCGGACACAAGTCATCTGAAACAAAATGTAAGTGAAAATAATAAGAATTCCAGCTTAATAGAACCCAGAAATAACGCAACAAAGAAGCTGAGATCCACTTTTCCTTCCTTTTTGTAGGAATTGTTGAACTCGTATAGTTCCAAAAATAACTAAAAACTAAAACTGCACGTAAAAACAATACTCAGGTGCACACAACACATGCAGAGAGAGAGAGAGAGAGAGAGAGAGAGAGGACAAGTATTTTACTTCATCTAATAAGTTACCCCACAGCCCACCCCAAGGAAAAAAAAATGCTACCAGTACCCATAAGTACAACACCAAGAAGTTGTCTTCACTATTCGAATAACCAAAATAGAATTGTCATTCACAATTAGAAACACTACCTGACAAACACTGTAATCAATAAATGCTTTTCCTTCTAATAAGCACCTGCAGATGGAAGGCCATGCAGTTTCTGATAGCAAGTAATAAAATCTTTCCAGTAAATTTGAGTCGACATTTGACGGATGGCCATTGACATTGACAGGTGAGGAATCAAAGACTGGCTGCCTAAGAAATCCACCTTGGGAAGAAAACTTCGTTGTATTTAAGTGGTCAGGTTCTGGAAAGTCCGCAGCACGTGAATCCCCGTCAATAAGTAATCTCCGAAGAACAAAGAAAAAATGATGTAGGGTCTGAAACTTTAATATAACAGTATCCAGTTGGACCTGAAAAATTGAAATGAACTGTAGTAGAAAAAGAACAGAAGCAAAGGATAACTTTTCTGTAAAACTTAATGACTGTAACACTGGTAATAATACACACTACCAGCATTTCAGAACTTATGTTCTACCCATTAAACATAGACCTATACGTTCTTTCTCTGTCTGTGACCAGTTTCCTGACGAGAGGAAAAGGGACCCACGTGGCTTCACATTCTAATTAAAATTAGCATGCCTGTTTATCTAAACATAGAAGGTCAGGACACAAATAGCCTCTTTTAACTAATCAAGAAACTGACAATTAAATAAAATACGGATCAGAGAGAGATAGCACGAAACTTGGACCTCTTTTTGAGGTCAAATAAAATGAGTGTCCATCAACGTATAAGTTTATTGTAATTATAAATTCACCATCAACAGAGAAGTTTATTGAAATTATGAATCAAGCTAATTAGTTGATTTAAAATTGAACACATGTACAAATGCACTTAGTTATATACTAGACTAACGGGACAGATACGTGAACCAAATGCTGCTGCTATATATCAGTAGTTTCAATTTTCAAGAAATTTGATGAAATTTGATGAAGCAAAAGTATTACCAGTTTCACAGCATGTCTCAAGCCCAAAAGGACAGCAGACAATGAAGATCCATAAGAACATAGGAATTTCAAACTACTAGCAAGACCCTGTGTATTGGAAACCTGTTCCACGATGCACTTGCCAAATTTCCTCACATTCTGCATCACATAGAGATTAATGCAATACAAAAAAATTAAAATGGACACAATAGAAGATGCAAACAATAAGTAAAATTAAATGATAACATTATGAGGTCCAATTAAGTGGCATCTAAGCTATAAATATATGTTTTCTGGGCTAAAAGTAAAAATAGTATAAATAACTGTTGGAATCCAATAATTACATCATTGGGATCTATAAGTGAAAGGAACAAGCTTTCACCCATCCTTGGCTCCCATGTCCACTGTTTACGAAGTTCCCCCTGCCCCACATGAACCAGAAAATGTGATGTTAACCTGTAATACACCACCATGTTAGTACTAAAAGACTCACAAAGTCCACCAGGAACAAAGTATGCACAAAATGGAAGCTATAGCACATAAACTGAAAAATATAGCAGCATTTCTATAACATAAGTAACAAAGGTAAGAAGAATGAATGGAACGAAAATAACCTGTTGAATGTTCGTATTAAAGGAAGAGACATTGTTGAGACTTTAATTGAGTTTTTTGATTCCTTCCCATCTCCACCATCATCAGAACCAGTGGGGACCTTCCACCCAAAGGTTGAAGATATTTCTGTAGCTAAGGATGAAAGCCAGGTTCTGACTGGAAGAGCACTTTCTGCACCAGTCTCAGGTTCTACCATAGGAAAACGAGATCGCGCCCAGAAAACAGCCTTGGAAAACGATATAGGAAGAATTGATGGATTGATGTCAACAAGGACATCAATCCATAACATTGGAATGCACATCCAGTCTCCAAATTCCCGAGATGTAATTTTACTTTGAATGCTAAATTCACTCCATGAACTATTATCCTTCTCTTCAGCATCCACAGAAAATGGAAGCCCCTCATCATCTTCATCATTCAACTCATAAGACATGCTTCTTTCAGAACCCACGGTTGGGTGGGTATTCAACACTGAGCTTATTAACACAGCAGCATCAGACACCATGATAGTTTGTATAAGATCAAAGGCAGGTTGTCTTAGAGAACTGTGAAGCGAAGAATCCTTCAGAGATGACACAAGAGAAGGGCCCCTGTCAAATACAAACAGATTAATCAGGCAACAGTAATGTTGTGCAAAACCCTTGACCAATTAAATAAACAACAACAAGACACAAATAAATATGTGATTGAGATAACCCATATGCATAATTTCTCTAAAACACATAAAATCCAGTGTGAAAGAGCATCAGGAAGGAAATTTGAATTCCCTTCTTTTGTTTTTGGCAAGGACAACGAGAGCAATAGTACAGGACCTTCATCAATCTTTTATACCAGATATTTACGATTAATATGAAGATAGGAACTAATTTCTCTGCAACACTCAACCCCAGGAGAAAATTATTTTCAGACGGAAGTCTCCCCTATTCCCTCCTATAGTTTGCAAAAATATCTGGCAAAAATGAATGACAGAAAATACATATTCCAAACTGAAAAGTAATAGCATAATCAACTTCATGTCATTTGTTTTCTCCCCAGAAACAGCCTCCACAGATATATCAAATCAATGATAGATAAATTACATACCACATATGTGCACATTCAGATGGAGGACAAGGCGGGTTCATTGTGTAACCTCGATGCACAATTAGAAGGGCTATCTGAAAATGAAAACTTGCGATAAATAAAGCAAAGATAATGCAGAAAATAAAACTGTCTTACAATAATAATGAGAAGATGCATAATCTAACTAAACACAAGATACCGCACGTATTACAATCTAAGGGAAGAAATAAAACCTGACAAGCCTTTTGTCTCGTTAAGCCACTGAAGTTACTGCTCACGGGAACCTGAATGAGGAGAAAATAGAGAAAATGCCTACGTTGCTTTTCATGTTCCCCATCTTGCAAAGCCTCAAGAGACTGCATAAATTGGACTTGGACATATCAGATTAGTAACTACTCTAGCAAGTGAAAAAATAACATACAGGAACAGGCTATAAATGAAAGTTGCCGGAAAAGGCTATAAATGAAAGTTGCAGAATATATCACAGACATGCCTGCAGAAAAGGCTGAAAAAGATCGAAAATGTCCTTATGGCTCTTCTCGTTTCGAGTATGAAAACACTGGCCCAGTAGAGTATTGCGCATCACACTTGGAGACAATGTAGATCTCAGCCAAAGTTTACAACCTAAGTCAAGCCACAATTGTAAGGAAAAATGACTGAGGAGTATTGAACAGAAAATCAACATATAATTGAAAATTAAAAGGAGATGTGTACCAAGCATTTCAAAGAGTATTCTCAAGCAAGCAACTGCATGAGAGAATTCTAATGAGTCACCACTAATATGGTTGAGTACAATATCAAGAAAAATGGGATAGCGCTCTAATATGCCTTCTTCAAAAGCTGGAGGTTCCAAAAACCCAAGCCTTCATAAAACACACAAAAGGATCATTACAAATAAAACTGGAAAAGGAAAAATACTTTTGATAATAAATTATTTGTAGCCAGAAGTTCCTACAGTGATTTTATTCCAAGCCATATGGACATGCGTTCCAGCTGCACTCTTGGCCTTAAAGTTTTCAAAGTTGATGGTAACACTTCAGTCTCCAAGAAGCCGATGAATTTCTTAAGCAAAGGCTGCAAGGGTTCCAAGTCTGTTGCTCTCCTATGCACAAAGATAACAAAAAATGAAACCAAAATGCACAGACTGAATTACAATTATAGATAAATATAAAGCATTTGCATAAAGGCAAATGCTAACTAAACAAAAAGGCAACATTTCATAGATGAAGGTAGTTTTGAATGTGAATAGTGATATCAGTAGTGCAGAACAACAGTATCAACCCAAAAAATGTGATTTGGTGACGCATTCAAACATTACAATGTAAAATGTTAAAACACCTGCACCTCACCCACCCCCCTTACCCTCTTCCACCACAGGCTAAAGAGCCCAAAAACAAGACCAGGTTGTTAGCACAATCATCAGATGACAAATTTTGAAACTCAAGATCAAACCATTAAAGCAGAAACCAGCATAATATCAGAGTACCTCAGTTTTCCCATAGAACCAGCTAAACGATGACCAACAGAGCGCACTCTTCTTTTGAAGAAAAATAATGCATAAACACCCTAACAGAAAACAGCTTCAATCTATAAGGAAAAAATTATACACTTATTTAAGAAAGACAAAAGCCAACTGAGAACACATAGAAACAAATCTACCAAAAACATACCGGAAACTGTTGCTGTCCAGCCAGAGCCAGTTCGTGCATATTATCAACTGCTTCAATGAATTTTTCAAATTCAGTGAATAAGGACTCATCATCCAGTAGTACAGGGAACATTAGGACCTGTCAAGCAGTAGACAACAAATGTATCAAATCAAAGTCAATTTAATCTGACAACATACAAGGAAATCTAATGCATAGATAAATGCATACATATCACTTATAAGGATGAAAATGTCAATGACAGTACAAATACTGATACTCCCAATTCACAGAAATATCGACGGAAATAGTGATATCTATGAGAATAATAATGGTAGAAAACCAAAAAAAATGATAAACCCTAGAAATGTAAACTTCAAAATGAATGATCAAGTCCTCCTGTCCTTTTTCATCCCCTAACAAAAACAGGCTTTCATTGTGTTTTTCAACATAAGGAAGGCTTGTCCAAATACCTCTAGAGCTCGAACTTCCATTTCTCCTACCCATTGACCCCCTTGCTTGGCTATTAATTAGATTGGTTTTCCACAAGGCAAATAAAAAACAAACAAATAGACAAATGCACAAACAGGGAAGACAAAAAACTAAAATAGTCATAGCATTAAGCTGAGCCCAATCTGTAACTTCCTTCAAACCAAGTAAATACTAATGGTCCATTCCAAAATTATACAAAGACATGGGCTTAATAATTTAGATAGCAGGACCAGTTAAAGCCCAGCAAAGTCGCGGGGTAAAATCACAAAAAGCAAACACTATATTCAGCCCAACCTGAAAACAAGATCCACTCCGCTAAGTAAAACAACTGAGCAAAGCTGGGACAGAGAACCAGCCCTTTACCCATTCATACGCCTTTTTCCTCACACAGCAGCAGCCCCTTTTCCTTCATTTATTCAGTTTTCACAGACACCAGCATACCATCTGTGTGTAACTCAAAAAGGGGGGTGGGGGGGAGGAAGGGAGGGAAAAGAGAGAGAGAGAGAGAGAGAGAGATAGAGTACCCAACTGCCAAACACCCTCAGATAATCCATTGGTCATCTAGGTTTAAAACTCATACTAAAGTGTCCCTTAGTTTTGAAGTTACCACAGTATGTCAAAAAGGAGCTACATAAAAAAGAATTTTCCAAAAACCATGCCAAAATTTTGGTTGATACTTACCACTATATCACTGAAACTTCAGGAATTTTTCCTAAATATCCAGTTTTTTCTAACCATTTCAGCCAAAATCAAAATTTCCACATACAATCGCCAATATTTCCTGAAAACTCTGTAAGATATAACTGGTCCACACCCACCCAATTTTCCATATTGGCAATGGCACTCTACTTTAGAAGGACAACGTATCCTGGGGTAAGATATGGCATCACCATACATAACAACACCAAGAGAACTTCCATAACAAGTTTAAATATAAGATATGATCATATGAGAATCAACTGTAAGCCTGATATTTACATAAGCTCAAATGATCGACCAAATGCCATACTAGGCCACAAAAACCAAATCATTACAGTTTCAACAAACTTTTTTGCAGAAACCGGGAAAACATTTCAACTTCTCTCAGAGATATGTCTTGTAAACATAGTGGTTAAGAAAAAGACCAGGACCAAATATTACACGATAAATTATCAATCATTTCTTTGACCATCCAACTTGGATATACTGATAAACATGAAAAGCCTATTTAGACTGCCTTTTGATGAAAACACAGAATTTTAATACTCTATTTTTTCCACTGAACCAGACACGGATGTCAATTATTCCTTCCAGGCACGCATCTTGACATACAATTACATTGTTGGAATGAATTTTCCAATTATTTCATTAACACCCTTTGATACCGACATGCTATACATTCAACATGTATGAATAAAAGTTAACTATAAGTACAATTCTTGTTGTATCATAAAGAATAAGTCAATAAAAAGAAATTTGAAAGAGAACATCGGCATACCTCATACATGACACTAATGACTTCTGCATTATCACAGGCAGCATCATATTCTTTTCGGGCTCATTTAGTATCTATCTCTATACAGTGCTGTGTCAGAAGGGGACCAATAGAACTCGATTCGTACTCCGTGCTATACATCTCAAGGGCTTGATAGTGCTGGGAAATGCATTGGATGCACTGCCGCATTTCCTCAGAGATTCTCCTCCATAGTTGTCTAAGAGGAGAATCAGAATGTTCATCTTTGAAGTAATTGTAAAAAGTCTCCAGAAGAGGCCCCATTATATCCCAGGATCCACACCAAATATGATTTTCTTTTGGCAAACAGATCAAGAATTTAAATGCATCTGCAAACCTGACACAATGCCAAAATGGAATACTAAACGTTAAAACTAAACAAACACATAGAGAGTCTAGTCAGCTGATTAAGAATAGTAAACCATCAAATCTTGAAGATAACCACCCCAAAAAAAATAAAAATAAAAGACAGAAAAGAAAACAAATAAATCAAGAAGGATGCATGAGTGCATTCTCAGGTTAAGGTAGTTCTTGGATTCAATCTTACACAGCAGAGAGAAACAAAAGGTCTAACTTTAGATGAATTCAATTGCTTAAGTCTCACATAATAATTCTAGGTTTAGAATTCTTTACAGTAATTTACAGAGTTAACAATTAAAACTGAAATTTGAACTGCAAAAAAGGCTTTGTGCCTAAGACTTCCTAGATCAGACATATCCATGAAGAAGCCCACACAAGAAATGATAATAAAATTAACCACATACGCGAAGAAATTGATGTGGATCATCAGCAGAAACAAACATGCTAATGTAGTTCACTTCTTGCACTACATTAGGGATCGCATTTAGTTATCCGAATAGCAATTCTGCATAAGTAAATAAGAATCTTAACATAAATAACATACCTAGAACAACAATGCCAATGCATGCAGGCCTAGTGTAACATAATAAACAAAAACTCTCCATTTCCCATGCTTTCTTTTCTCCACTTAATAAAAATCTGATTTTCCATCCAGCACATAAATCCATTTACTAAGCCGCCAATCAAATTCGGCATTGCTGTCATTAAATTTAGTTCTTCTATTTACTTATCTTATCTAAACCAAGCAAAATTAATAGCAATAATGAATAAACAAAGTTCACTTTAGATAACTGTGTTTAGCATTTTTTGGAAAAGTATGCTTCCTGAGAGCAAGGATTAAGCGAACTGGCTGCAAAACCAAATTAAAACAAAGAAGTGAGAGAGAAGACCATTGTTCTTTGTTCTGGTGGAGACGATGACGTTTAGAGGCGTCAATGCGATCGTCGTCTTCGTCTGCTTCTTCCTCAATGCCTCTCCAACGGTCCAATAACTCTCTTCTCGTGGCCAGTTTATTCGCCATTTATCCAAATTACAGTGTTTCTATTTTTTCTTTCAATTTAATGACAATTTTCTAGGGTTTTCTGCACAGAGAAAGATCATGGAAGGAGAGAGAGAGTCTGAGAGTAATAAGAGAGGGAAAGTGGGAGACATAACAAAGGAGAAAATATATAGGCAACGGAATTTGGATGTTGGAGGGGCTTACGGGTCATTTCATCATTTTGTCGAAGAAACGGATTTATTTTGGTTAGAGGGCTTCTATCCACTAGGTTCGGGGTTCGGATTTATTTTACCGCCATCTCATCGGACAATTGAGCCGGGTCTCCTTTCAGATTATCTAAACGGGTCAAATCACATATGGCCCAAAGTGCAAGTTTTGGACTTATCTTGTCGGCCTGATCAACTACTGGACTTGAACCACATCCTTCTTTTCTTAAAGAAGTGAAAGAATTCTATAGTGAAGGCTATGAGACGATTCCCTATCTCTTAATTGTTTGATCAAATTAATTTGTTATTGGATTAAATTTATTAATTTGATCCAACAGTTAAGAAATAGGATCTCGTCTTAGATAAGACTCTCACTAAAGAAGTGTGCTACTGTGCTAGATTAGAATGCTTTCTTTAAGACTCCTTGTTCTCGCAAATCACAAATTGATATATATTAAAATGACTAATTTAAAGTATTTTTAAAAAAATTATATATGCATGTCAAATTGTGATTGGCTTGTAATGAATGAGGAAATGCTCATTATATGTAAGAAGCCAAAATATCTTCTTCATTTTTATGTATAAAATTTGAGTCGTACATAGTCTTGAATCTCACATAACTTCAATGGGGTTATTGCTTGAGTGGTAGAACAATCTAATTAAAGAATGGCATGTATTTGAATTTGTTTATCAGCTTTATTTTTTAAAGACATGTCATTTTTTGGTTGAATTTCAATGTCATTCAATACTGTCACGTAAAATTTTATTTTTTCTAAGAAAGCAATTTTGGAAATGAATATCCACCAAATTACAATTTTGGAAATCCAACCAAACTGCAAATTTTGGAATGGACTAGCACTCTCCAGCCTTGAATTAGATCAACCATGCAGTGAATTGACACGAACAAAAAATATACCTAAAAAGGAAATTGGGGGTATGGTTATTATTTTGGGAGAAATCAACCGTCCTTCCCAATCTCCTCTTCACTGTCAAACCTAACATTTTACATAAACAAACAAAAGGAATATAAATGATCAAAAGAGATAGAGTCAGGGAATTGAAACTTTTTGGATGATAGCAAAAAGTTGATACTTTCTCCTCCGTCTATACTGGCTTTTTTCGGATGGTCCCGAAGTCATCTATTGAAGTCTCCTCAGCTCATAAAGATAAAAGGTGCGGATAGAACGTGGGTCTTGGACATCTGAATGTGACCAAAAGTCTTTGTTCTGATTTGGTACGTCACATTATTCAACAAGTTTTGGAGACTTTTCCTTTTATGTAGATTTTTTTACATATTAAGCAATTCTTGTTGTTAATAACAATCTTATTTTAAATCTTTTCATATACATATATATAGTGGCTATAACAAGAAAGTAAAACATGTATTGTAGTTTAGTTGAATTTGGATTGAGTCAAAATAAATCCTAAATTCGAGACTTGAAACTCCATATTATGAAAACGAAATTCTTGACCTCGACGTGTCCCCTTGATACTTGAATTCTATTGTAGACATAAACCCTATATTCAAGATACTAGATTTTGATGTTTAAATTTGGGTCGGAGTTTGTTCCAAATATAAATTCGGTGTTTGGGGTTATCCGAGATTCTAACATCCAAGTTCAGTCTAATTCAATTATAATATGGGATACCAAAACAAAATATAACATTATTTAAACAATCCAATTTGGTAATATCATATTACAGATAACATTCTACAAAATTCTATGGAATTTAATATTGAATAAATCTCCTTAAATAACAATTCAATTCAATTCGATATTGTGTACCAAATGCAGTGATTTTAGCTTTTTTTTTTTTGGATTCAATTACCCAAACCATTATTCTTCGTGTATATTTGTCTCTCTCTCCATTTTTGTGGCGGGGTCTCAAAGTCAAAACGAGGGTACCTTTCCATTGCAATGCAAATGGGAAAGCAAAGCACAA